TTCAAAACAAACAAACCCTATTGAGCAGCACAAGATTGGACCTCCTATTGCCCAAGCTCATGCCATCCCTTCTGATATTTTCTCTGTGCTTCATACAATGAGCGTGCCAAATCTAGTGCTTTAATTGTTACACCCAATCATAATTATTAAAAAAAATTATCCTATGTGACCTGACTATAAACATGCAGCTAGAAACAAGTTTCTATAATTTTCTCACCGTACCGAGATACCATACTCAATAAGTCTCAGTTATAAATGATTTGTTTCACTTCTCACAATTTTAAAAGCTTCACATTATTTGTGCTTTTCAGGGACAAGAGAAAATATGTTTGCTTCTTTAAAGAAGTTAGACAATCCATATCAATGAGTTTAAATTTATGTGTTAGAGCGATATTACTACTGCGATGTATCGTATATAATTAATTTAATATATATTATTATACACGTAATTTGACTATGCTCCTAGGGGACGCACCACACACTTTTATACAAAGTTGATGAAATTGAGGACCGGCAAACTTCAGCTTGAGAATTGAAGTGTTTTCCAGCTTTCTTACTAGTTGTGATACTAATAAGTAAAGTAGGTAAACCTTTTTGAACTTTATGCAGCAATGTAGTAAGTATATTAACATATGTCGTGTGTTGTGAAATGTTTACAACCCGTGTTCACTTTTATTATAAAGAAATGTATATTTTTGTTGTTGTTACTGTTTCGTGTTCGTCAAGTCTTGAAGGAGAGGAGGGTGTTATCACTCATTTATAGTCAATATCAGAAAGATGGTTTCAATTCATTTATTAATTTCACGTTTCTGAAATTGCAAAGAAGGAAAAGAAAACTGGAAGTGAGACATTTGTTCAGACAAACAATTTTTAATCTTGGTTTAAAATAAATATGAAAATTTATGTTAATCAAGTAAGTGGTTATAACTTATAATTAATGGTAATTTGATCGAGTCAATAAAAAATACGTCAGAATTCAATACTCTTAAATATCATTTCTTAATAAGTTATAAAAAAGGGATAGACTAGGTAACAGGATGTTTGAGGAAGCTAATGAATTTCATTAAATTCTAAGAACTTAAAACTGAAAGTAAAGAAAAATGTATAACAATATTTCAATCATGTTAGGTCTGCCATATCTATTCAGATGTAGCCTTTCATCCAATACGAGGGCTCATCAGGCTAGGTGGACTACAGTGTACACAGTTGAGATACAATCTATACGGCCCCCCAGTAGCACGGCGGTATGTCTGCGGACTTACAATGCTAGAATCCGGGTTTGTTTCGATACCCGTGGTGGGCAGAGCACAGATAGCCTAATGTGTAGCTTTGTGCTTAATCTCAAACAAAAAACAAAACAATCTATACGAGTTCATGGGTCAAGTTGAAATGGAAGACTGTGATATAATGAGACTTACTGAAACTTGGCTAGATATGAGAACATTGATAATATGAATAGAAATTATTCTTAAATTTCAGTTATAAATTAATTAATAAGCATATATTTTTTTTGTAAGGGCAGGACTGGCTCTTTATATGAGGGATGAGCTGCAACATATTGAAACTGAAAACATAGAAAAGGTAGTCAAGATGTTGAATCTGGGCTTTCAAGGGTGGAAAGTTCTTAATTGATCAGACAGATGATGTCAACATTGGTTAATGGAAATTGTATAATGATGGCTGTTTCTAATGTTAAAATAATCATGGGAAAATATTTTTTGACACATTCATGAGTTTATATGGAGACAACTAATAGGGAAGAAGGCTTTTTTGTATACGAAATAGGTAAGGAACCGATTGGGAAGTATGACATTTGAGACTTATTGGTAACCATTGATGAGGATGTGGTTATAAAAGCTGAACATTTTGGGAAAAATTATTGTTGCAAACTTAGGTTTGATGTTTTCCTACATCTTGAGATCAGGGAAGATGAAATTTTAATTCCTAATTATCAAAAAGTTCATTTTGAGGCCATAAGACAGAAGTGCTTAGTGAATTAGAGTAATGAATTAAAAGGTGATATGGGACAGATTTGGATATTTTAAGAAACAATAAAAAGAAGAAAAGGATAACAGAAATGATCAAATCTAATTGGTTTACTAAAGCCATAAAGAAAAAAGTTAGAGATAAATATTAGAGATACAATACCAGAACCATAAAGTGTTTTCTCCAGTGTTTTAAAAAAGGTCCAATACTAGATGCATGAGCCTCTCTTTAATTTTTTTAGGTCAATAGACAGCATGCAGGTGCCCAGAGATTGAATGGTAGCTGACAGTACTTCTAATTTTAAAAGGGAGAATGAGAATTGCTCTGGAAATGTAAAAAGAGATCTAACATGTACTCACTGAAGGGAAATATTTCTTTATTAATCAGTTAACCTTTCTTGAAGCTTTCGCAAGTTATCTGAAGGATGGAAAGATGGGGAACTTGGTATACTTATATTTTTAAAAGGTTTATGGTAAAGTGACAAACAGAAGATTGAATAAGAAAATCACATTATTGAGAATTGAGGAAGAAATAGTTATTGGATTGAAAGGTAGATGGATGTGAAAGAGTGATAAGTTGTTTTTAATGGAGTCTATTCAATTTGGGCATTTCTTAACAGTGGTGTGTCTCAGGAGTTGGCGCTTAGGTCTTTACTTTTTCCTATTTATGTAAATTAATATTAGTTTACTTCTGATTTGAGCAAACCACCTATCTAGATCAAATACAAGTCAAGCTGGTAATGAGTATAGTTAATTATCTTGCAATTAGAATGCAATGTTTCATCATTTGGGTACTCTTGCTGTTAATATTTACGGCCATAATCTCAGTAATATCATGAGATTTAACCATCTTAGGTTAATGCTAGGTGCGTATACTAAGCTAACAATGAAAATAATTTTTATAATAAAAATATAATAATAGATATATTAAACATTCAAAACAATACTGATAATGAAGGTAACATTAAGGTAATTAATGTAGACATAATTAGAAAAATTGATAACATGTAATGATGACATTCATTGCATGTATTTCTTGCTGTATTGGGTACTGAAGAATGACTCGTTATTATTATACAGTGTTTTCAGAATACTCCATTAAGTGTTGCGTGTTTATACAGTAGATCTCAAAACCTATATCATCGTAGAAGTCTAAAGCAATTGTATTCTGTAAACTTAATTTGTTAAGGTACAGATGGTGGAAGGTGTTTCTTCATATATCTGTTCCTGTTGCGTGTTTATACAGTAGATCTTAAAACCTATACCATCGTAGAAGTCTAAAGCAATTGTATTCTGTAAACTTAATTTGTTAAAGTACAGATGGTGGAAGGTGTTTCTTCATATATCTGTTCCTGTTGCATGTTTATACAGTAGATCTTAAAACCTATATCATCGTAGAAGTCTAAAGTAATTGTATTCTGTAATCTTAATTTGTTAAGGTACAGATG